GAGAATATTTGTATTACCTCAGGTGGGAAAGAATTTCTTAAGCATGAGTTCAAAAGAAATGCAGACTATCAGTGAAAAACTAATAGTTTTGACCTAATTTGATCATTCCACAGTGTGTACGTGTATCCAGACATCACGTGGTACCCCATAGATACAGTAGGCCCCCCTTCTCCACTATCTCACTTTCTCTAATTTCAGTTACCTGTGGTCAGCCACAGCATGAAAATATTAAGACACTTTGAAAAGGATAGAGAGATGGAGACAGAGAGAATGAGTATTCACATAACTTTTATTACAGTATATTTTCATACTGTTCTATTTTGTTATTATTGTTGTTAATCTCTTACTATGCCTAATTTATAAATTAAACTTTATCAAAGCTATGTATATATAAGAAAAGCATAGTATATATAGGATGCTGTACTATCCATGGTTTCAGGTATCTACTGGGAATCTGGGAACGTTTCCCTTGGGGACAAAGGAGGACTGCTATATATACAATTATTATTCATTAACTAAAAATGAAATAAAAATATATAGACTGTCAAAAGACATCACAGACAAACTGGAAGACAAAATACTGCCTAGGAGAGGATATTTGCGAACAGGTAATAGTCAAGAGATTAATATCCAATAAATGAGTTAAGACAAATTAGTTTTTAGGAAAATAGGTAAAGCAAATGATGGAGTGAGTCACAAAACAAAGATAGTCAATAACCATAGTAAGAGGTGCTCCCTTGTTAATAATTATAGACATGCAAAAATGCAAGCCCAATTGATACCACTGTTCACTCATAAGATTGCCGAAACCTCACATGTCAAACAATGCAACGTCTAAGCGAGAGTGTAAGAACACGGGAATTCTCAACTATTGCACTTGGGAGGGTAAATTAGCACAATTTACCTATACAGCAGGAATCCACAGTGCTTTCTCAAAGGTCCAGACAGTAAACATTTTAGACGTTGAGGGTCATGAGGCAACACTGATATTATGCGGGTACTTGTATAACCATTAAATTATAGAAACCCTTTTCAGCTCACAGGTTGTATCATGCAGGTGGCGGGCTGGATTTGGTATCTGGGCTTGCAGGCCCCTGGTATAGAGCAATTTGGGCAGTACGTAAGACCTAAGCATTCTACTTTTGGACATATATCCTAGAGAAATGCACATAAGTGGGCACAATACATACATGTATTGCAGCATTATAAAAGCACAACCTTGGAAAATAGCCTAAATATCCATCAGAAAGGGAACTGATAAACAAATATGGCATATTCGGAGTCTGTGAAGTACTATACGGCTCTCTATAACGATGACCAAATTAGCTTCATGTGTAGTAAGATAAAAAGATCTCAGAAAAAAATATCTGGTGAAAAACTTAACTGCAGAATATATGTTGAATTTGATACCATTTATTCTAAAAATTGCTGCTACAAATAATCGATAAGGAGGGAAACACATGATCATATATAACTTGGCCCCAGCATGGGCTTATAGGGAGATAAATACGTATTACCAGACCACTCCCCCAGGGATGGCCATCAGTTGACTGGAACAGTGCTTTGCAAACTAAGAAAACTTAATGTAAATCTTCACAATTTTGGGTATAAAATGTTTTTAGATGTTAAGCTCAAGTTTAAAATACTATAGGTATACATATATATACACACACATATATACACACATATATACATATATACACATATTATATGTATATATGTGTGCATATATATGTGTGTGTGTGTGTGTGTGTGTGTGTGTGTATATATATATATTTTGAGACGGAGTTTCACTCTTGTTGCCCAGGTTGGGGCGCAATAGCATGATCTCAGCTCACTGCAACCCCCACCTCCCAGGTTCAAGTGATTCTGCTGCCTCAGTCTCCTGAGTAGCTGGGATTACAGGTGCCCACCACCATACCTGGCTAATGTTTTGTATTTTTAGTAGAGATAGGGTTTCACCATGTCGGCCAGGCTGATCTTTAACTCCTGACCTCAGGCGATCCACCTACCTCAGCCTCCCAAAGTGCTGGGATTACAGGAGTGAGCCACCGTGCTGGCCCTAAATACTGTATTTTGAATGGATGCATATATGTGCGGGAAACCTGTGCATTCCATTGATTTTAAGGTGCACATTTTCTTTCACCTTTTAAAAACTCTGAAGTAGGGATGCACCTTATCCTCTATGTGTATAGTTTGTTTTTCTCTTTAGTGTTACACAAACTGAGTCTTCTTATGAATGCCAGAATGTTACATTTAGTGAAATATGTTTCAAAAATTGGAAAATGAATTAATATTAAAATTATCATAGTCATTGCCTGGGAGAAGAGGTATAGGGAAGGAGAGAAAGAAGGAAAGAGTGGAAATTAATTCAGGAAGCGGCATCAATGATACCCTAATAAATGGTACTTTACTTGTATAAATTAAAAATATCTGAACATAATATAAATTTAACATTTATTAATATGTGGCTTTACACGCACAAACCGTCTTATTTACACTAAAGGGGCTCAGTTTTGGAGCTCTGAAACATCCTCAGAAATACAGGGTTAACTCGCAGATACATGACAACCTTGGAAACTGGGTGTACTGTGAATGATTATCCTCACTTTCCCATACAAACAAAAGAGAGGTCAGGGAAGTTATCTGATTCTTCAGAAATCAGATATCGAGTGACCAGCAGAGCTAGAACCTGAATCTGGATTTTTGGACTCCAATTTCATAGTCTTGTACACCACCACATTTACCGAACTGTTCTCGTTAACATGTAGATGTCTGAATTCTCAATTGCCTTATAGACTTTTAAAAAAGTGTGAATAAAAGAACAAATTATTTCAATTTTCAGTTTTAACTTACAACTGTTTTTTGAAAATTGCAATTAAAAAAGTTAGAAGGATGTTTTGGGTAGACACTTAAATCAGTAAACGGAGAGAGTGGAATTAGAGATTGGTTTTCATCTTGTGCTCTGTGGATTCCTAAAGCCTCAGGTGAACCCCAGGAGTCCTTGGATGAACTTTAAGTGTTTTATAACCAATGCCATATTTTAGCCCATAAAGAAGATTTAAATTACCCGAGAAGGCTATATACCAGTTTTAATATTTTATTTTATCATATCAGTTACCCCAGTAGAATTTTCACTTGAAAAAATATTACTTTACTAAATAATTTAATAGCCTAGTTTTTTTTCTTCCGGCTTTCATATTTTGTGCCTCTGATTTAAGAATCAAACGAATATCTGAGTGTGAAACATTTTCAGTGAGGAAAGTAAATGATTATGTTGCTTTATTGGGAAAACAATTAGGTTGATTACTATAAAATAATTAGATTGATATTCCCTGACATAGATGATTTCAATCAAATCTATCCTGCATTTAAGCCACAATCAACAGTCTGAGTAATTCCATAGTTTTAGAGTAATTTAAACACATAGTGCTTAATAAACTTAGTTGAATGCGTGAACGATGAGTAAATGAATGGATGAATGAATAAATGGCACAGGCTTAAAAGTCCTGGAAGGGAAGATGCAAAGACCTCAGGGCTAAGTGTTGTGCAAACACCAGCACAGCCAGATTCGGCTCTGCAAGCCAGGCTTCCATTCCTGCTGCACAATGTTCCTGTCTTTTGTGAATGTTTTAAAAGTCAGCTCCATGTATAAAAAGGCCAAAACTATGTCTATGTAGTTCTACTGTTTGAGTCCGTGACTTCACATCACGTAACAATGCATTCTCCTAAACTTTGCAGTGGACATGTCTTAGTTTGGAAAGCCTCTGTCTGTCTATAGCAAACACAACTTCTAAGTTATATCTTGTTTATCAAGGACTTATTTCATTCATGGATATTTAGAATTAAAACTGACCTTAGAGATTATATGTACTTTGTTTTATGGGAGTGATTCTTTGGCAGCAGTTTGACTTGACAATGACATTTTTCAGACAACTTTAAACTTCATTATTCAGGGAAGCAGTAATAAGTAGCTGCAAGACTAAGGGCCAAATCTAGATCAGACAGACCTGGGAACACTCTGGTCTTATTTACTTTCTATGTGACATTGGATAAATCACTAAACTCTTCCGAGCCTCAGTTTTATCATCTGTTAACTGGGAATACTATCTAATTGGGTGTTCCAAAGATTAGCAATAATGCGGTAAGATATTTTGTAACTGTAAGACATATTGCCAAAAACAATAGTAGTAGTTGTTTTTATTTCTTGTGTTCCTGATAAAGGGAAACATTTGAGTCCTCAACTTGGAACTTCTAACGTAATATTATAACTTAGGTTTGCTTCTTAAATATGAACAAATTTATTACATAGAGATGTGCATTTGGTATTACATTTCTTCGTAAGTCATAGGCTGCATTTCATAACATTTTTTTCTTTGTTTTTAATGGAAGTACATCGAAGAGAAAAATCTGCTTGTGTGACAGATGTCGGTTCTTACTGGACTTTGGTATTCCATTTTCCTGTGCTTTTATAATATTTGCAGCGATGTGTTTTATTTTTTTTTCCATGTGTTTTTTCCAGTCGCACATAGCACAAAAACACTGTGCTGATTTCTAATTAACTGACTGCACCTTGAGGTCTACAGCTTCTGTCTTCAGTTTAATTACAGCTGTGAAGAGGATGCAGTGAAATTGAAGACAGTGTCTCTACATGAGAAAAAATAATAATAATGGAATTCTGGTTTGATCCTGAGATCATCTAGGTGTGAATGCTTGGGGATACTTAAATTGGTACGTAAATGTGAGATTTTCATTTTGTTGTGTCTTGTTTTCCCTCTTGCAAACACTGGTACCTGATGGAGAAAATTTCTAACTTAACAAATCAAGCAGTTCTTTGATGTGTAGAAACTTAGAATGGAAGGAGGGATCTCATCCAACCAGACTAGTCTGCATTAGTCCTTTGGCTCCCATTTTGAAATTGACCCAATAGGTCAAATATCTGTTGATGCTCATCCCATTATAAAATCCAAGATATAATTGAAAAGAAATGCTAAACTCACCAGAGTGGCAAAAAGGTGATAGAGAATGAAATAGATGGCAACTACAGGTGCCCACATATGTCCCACAGCATTTAGAGTTTGGTCCATTACGTCCACCCATCCTTCCTGGGTGAGGATCTGGAACATGGACATAAATGCCTAAGAGGAAAAGAACAAAGGTATTACACACTAGCTTTAGGCTTGCATACAACTTCAAATTCGCATGTGATGTTTGAAGACTTTGATCTCAATATTATTGATTTTTATCTGATTGATCAGGGCAAGAACAGTCTTGATTCAACACATAGGAAAGATATGAGACTAAAGATCTTAAAAATGTGATATTTAACTATTAGATGTAGAATAAGAAAACAATTACCCTGAATTAAAATTAGTTTTGTTGGCAGTAAATACTGTTGAGCAAATTAGAAACAAATTCAAGATCTTTGATTTTTGCCATTAATTTTTTTTCTTTCAGCAAGCTATCTAACATTTTCAACAGATTACTTTTTTTTGTTCCTGCTGCTAAGAGAAACTTATTTTTATAGTGAATTACATTTGTCTAAAGCATATAAAAGAGCAATAACCTTAATTTTATTTTTATAGTACCCATCTATCATATTTTAGCTATCATATTGAAAACATGTGACTCTTTAAAAAATAAATATTTCTAAGTGATATTGCCACATTGAACAGCTTAAAGAGAAACACATTTTTCATGATTTTAAAAAAGTTTCAAGGCACAGGGGCAAGATCACTGAAGAAACCAAGACCCCCCCCCAAAAAAAAGAAAGAAAAAAGAAATAGAGCATTCCAACAAAAGCCAGCCAAGCTAAAAGTCTCATAGTCTTTCTGCCAAGATCTTTGACTAGTTTCATTCTTACATATTTTTCTAATTAAATATATGTGTATCCATGAATCTCCAACTCATGTATCCTATACACGTTAGTAGTCAATAAATACTTTTTAATGAGACTATGATGATATCTGGAACAAGTTGCCCATTGGAGTCTAATGACTCTTTAAAAACATCTTTATATGCTTAAGTACAATAAAGACATAAATTGAATTCTCGGATATTGGGATTCCAATAAATAAAGTCCAGGATAATGCAAAGATGGACTGAGACCAAGACAGAAACCCGGTTACACTAGACTAGAGGACCTAAAGACAGACCTAATCTGGTAAAGATGATCTAACCTGATTCTTTTTTTTTTTTTTTTTGAAGATAAGGAAAATGATGCTCACAGATGCCAAGTGATTATCCCAAAGTCACTCTATTAGTTTCTGGCACGAATAGAAGTAGCACCAGGCATTAGGACTCCAAAGTGAGTACTTTTCCAAAAAGTGCATCCTGCATTCAGTGAAGTCTACCCAGGATCTACGCAGGCATAGTTACATAGTAATCTGAGTATAATTTTCACACTTGATCTTAGCCAAAAGGCTGAGAAGTGACCTAAGTGCAATTTCCTTCAGTAAGGGTAATAAACTTCCTTAGAAGTAGAGTGTTCAAGGTCCAGAACACAGTGGACCTATTTGAAAAAGGAGCAATTAATTGTTAAATGAACCACGAACTAGAAGATAACTTCTTCCACTTACTCTTTGTGTGCAAAGTAATTATCTTTACCTTGAGTTGATTTTTCTGTAATCTCATTATCTTACAAAGTGTTTTGTTCATGAAAGTATGAAGTATGTTGTTATTGATTCTTGACCCCAGCACCACCAAGGGCAATATACTATTTTTCTTGTCATGGTGCCGAAGAGACGGCCACTCTCTGCAAAAAGTATTCCTTCTAAAATTGCTTTTGAGAATTTTTCAACACATCACTTATCCTTATTTCAGAAGTTATCACTGAGGGCAATTATTTTTTTCCTGTATTTTTTTTTCTCTTGAATATTTATTGTATCCAAAGGTGAGGAACACAAATTCCAAAGATGATTTCCTTAAAAATATGAGATTGCTGTATTTTTTTAAATGAAGGTGTCAGTGTGAAAACATGTACATATCCTAAAGATTCAACAGCAATAGGTGAAGAGTCAAAATGCCTGCCAGTATAAAAGAAATTTCACTGGACATGGCTTTCTTTCCCCAAAAGCAGTAGAACAGCTCATGATGAAGCCCAACAGATTTATTTTGGTATCTGGAGACTTAAAACGTAGGTGCACCTTTCAGCTGTCTCGGGCATGAACCAGCTGATGTTTTTTTCATCTGCTGCATTACATTCGATCAACACAGCTATCATGTGGTCAGTAGATGCTCGGGAACGTGGAGCTATGGGATTGTAATCTGTTGTTGTGAGATAAGCGATGTGGGCAAGAACGCTGGGGTTATCCTCTTTTCATTTCAGAGTCTCAGGAGAAAAAAAATCTAATTTCCACACAGCTCAACCACCTGAAAGCTCATATTGTGAGATGCACTAAATTGTATTTGCGAACAAAGCTTTTTGTGACAGTGGGATCTGTGTGTTTCTAGCTGCTGAAATGAATAAACCAATGAAAGGTAGTGCCAACAAATACTTCTATTAGAGGCTGAAAATTAACTTGTGTCCTGCTTGAAGGGTGCCTTAACAGTTTTGTTGAGATTTTTATCCAGAAATTTAAATTCAAATGATAGCGTGCTTGAGATAGTGACTCAAGTGCACTTACTGACTTACATTTTCTGTAGGGTCTGTGCTCTTTATTTATTCAAACAAGGATTATTAGTGGCTCCTAAAGGTCTGATGCATTGGGGATTGAGTGGAGTAAGACATGGTTTCTTCCCTTAAGAATTGTATAATCGAGAGGGGAAGAAAAAGATGAACAGGATCAATTCTCAAAAAGGAAGAATATTGGCCGGGCGTGGTGGCTCATGCCTATAATCCCAGCACTTTGGGAGGCCAAGGTGGGCAGATCACTTGAGGTTAGGAGTTCCAGACCAGCTGGCCAACATGGTGAAATCCCGTCTCTACTAAAAATACAAAAATTAGTTAGGTGTGGTGATGGGCACCTGTAATCCCAGCTACTCGGGAGGCTGAGGCAGAAGAATTGCTTGAACCTAGGAGGCGGAGGTTTCAGTGAACTGAGATTGTGCCACTGCACTCCAGCCTGGGCAACAGAGCAAGACCCCATCTCAAAACAAAAAAGAAAATAAAAAGAAAGGGAAGAATATTAACTATGGTGTGTAAGCAAAATATGGTAAAACTATTGAGGGGCAACAGAGAAGAGCCAATTTAGTCCTCTTGGGTGAATCAAGAAAAGTTTTGGGAAAATGAGAGCAACTGACCTCAGTATAATGCAGAGGAGTAGAGTTTCAGTGGAAAGAAGGCAGAGAGGAAGGTGCTTCTCTGAACTACCTATTAGCATGTTATTCCATTTTTCTGCCCTGTTGACCATTTTATTTTCTTTACTGGTTTCCACCAACTCTTTACAAATTAAGAAAACTCATCTTTTATCTGCCATGTATGTTCAATGCATTTTCCCCTATACATTTCTTACATTTTTGCAAAGATCAGTTTTACATTTCAGTGTGGTCTAATTTGTCATTCCTTTTAAGTGTTTTTATTTTGCTTAAAAAGACTTCTCTCACTGCATGATTAGACAGAAATTTACCCGCGGTTTTATGCAGTAGTTTTACACTTTCCTTGTTTTATTATTTTAAACATGTTGAACCTGAAGTGGCTGTTTAAATCAGTTTAAGTCTGAAATTTATTTTGGTATAAGTAATGAGACAGGAATTTTTTGCTTTCACTTCTGATGGTGTTACGCCTATCCCTAGTTAGGATTTCTTGATTTATCCACTTCAGATATAGACTTCTGCTATGATATGTGAAGATTTCATTCAGCCACAACACCTCTCCCCACTTCCGTTAACCAATCCTAAATTTGTATGTAAATCTCTATTTCTTTTTCCATCAAACTAGAAAGACTTGACCCCTTCCAGTGTGAGATGAAGTTATTACCACTGCCACCTGTCAGGTCACCTTTTCTCTCTGCTTTCATTTTCCATCTTGTGTCGTGTATACATTTACATCCTCAAGTTTCTATATATATATTTTTTTTTTTTTTTTTTTGAGACGGAGTCTCGCTCTGTCACCCAGGCTGGAGTGCAGTGGCACAATCTCCGCTCACTGCAAGCTCCGCCTCCCGGGTTCCTGCCATTCTCCTGCCTCAGCCTCCCGAGTAGCTGGGACTAGAGGCGCCCGCCACCACACCCGGCTAAATTTTTGTATTTTTAGTAGAGACGGGGTTTCACCATGTTAGCCAGGATGGTCTCGATCTTCTGACCTCGTGATCTGCCCACCTCGGCCTCCCAAAGTGCTGGGATTACAGGTGTGAGCCACTGCGCCTGGCCAGACAATATTTACATTTGTTTTTTTCTATCGTAATTGGGTCATCTGTGCTTCTCAGCAAGTTGACAATCAATATGTTGATAGTCAATGTTTCCTATGAAAACATTGCTCACTGTTGGTCGAGGTAATGTTCTAAAATTATACTTTCCCCTCCAAGACTCTGATATAATGACATGTAAGGTATTAGACAGTAAATGGTCAAGGTTAAATGGAACCTTTCTTACTTTCCATTAATTGCTCAGAATCTGGGCCTATTAAACTCACGCTATTTGAGCCATTGTTAATGCAATTTTTGGTTTGGTTTTGTTTTTGCTGAGATTTTCTGTTTCTCACATGTCCTATTGGAAAAATAAATATATTCTTTCTTTCTTCTACCTCAAGTAGCTTCCATATTCTCACGCATTACACTTATCATTCAGAATAAACCCTTCTTACTATTCTACATATGTTCTTCTTTAAACCATCAATTGCCCAGAAACCATTTGATTCTTACTCTCATAGATAGTGTTCTTGAGGTCCTCTCACTACCTGTTCTAATTTGAACTAATTTTTTTCTAGACTGTTTCCACAGTTGCCATAATTTCCACTTTTAACACTTTTATCTAGATCTTTTGTTCTTTCTAATACAGTGGCAGAGAATTATTCCAAATATCTCATCCCACTCATTAGCGTCCTTTTTCAATTTATCAACCAGGTTTTCTACTCTGTGTTTTACTGTCTCAGTAATGAGGAGAGGGGTATAGGGAGAGAAGTATTAGCTGAGGCTGTGTATGGACAATTATGCTTGAAATATCAGACTTCAGATATTTCTTCAATTCAGGTAGGTTCAGG